GGCATTTGCCAGTAGATGGATGGAGATGGAGAATATCATGCTAAGGAAAATAAGACAATCCCCCAAAACCACAAGCTGAAGAATGTTTTGTCTGATATGCAGATGCTAATTCACAATGGCGGGCAAGAGCTAGGGAAGAACAGAATTACTTCAGATTAGGTAGAGGGGAGTGAAAGGGGGAGAGGGGGTATGAGGTTAGGGAGGACAGTATGATAAATTAGACATTATTACTTTATGTATGTATATAACTATAAGATCAGTGGGATTCTACCTCATGTATAATCAGAAGAATGAGGAATTATACTCCATTATATATGATGTATCAAAGTGCATTCTACTGTCCTGTATAACTAAAACAAATTTAGAAAATAAAAGAGACTATCAGAGACAGAAGTTTTTGTAGTCAATTTAAGGTCTGCAAATCTTCCTAACTTCCTACATAGACAGACTTGATCTGTTTGCTAGTATGTTTATCTAGCCTTAAGTGACAGAAATAAAGGGATCTCTACTAAACACAGAGATTATGCCAATAGAAAGGCATTTTACAAAAATCAGATGACCTTAGCTTCTTAACTATATCTTATGGGGGCATCTATGACATTATAAAAACTAAGTGTTATGTTTATATTCCTGATAACTCTGACAATGTAAACAATATCCTTAAAGATTTACATTTCTTGCTTAGCATCTGGATGGCCATCTTAAGTGACAGCTTCCATTTTCAGAAAAAAGTTTTGCTTTCCTGTCCAAGGGCTTTTCTGAGAAAGGCTCACCACTCCCTCATACCAACCCAACCCCTAACTGCCCACATTAGGACCCATCTGGCTCTGATTCCTGAGCCTTCCCCATAAAAGTCCCAGAACCCAAGCCTGTTTCGCCTCTCTCTGCTCTATAGAGAGTTGGCCTTTAATCTTCAGCTCTGACAAACAAACTCTCCTGTGTATCTCTGCCTGGTCTCCATCTTTCATTTCTCGCTTATCTGTCTCTTGTTCCTTGCTTTCCCTTCATTTTGGTGCTGAAACCAGGTTCCCCAGGGTGCCCACATCCCTATTTGAGGGTCACTGAGCATACTTGGGCCCCAATCCAAATTCCATCGTGGGACCAGGCCCTCGAGTCTGCCAAACACCCTCTCCACACCCACTACTGGACATTCCAGATAAGACCCGTGTTTCCGGTCGACCTAAATGACCCCGGGTCCAGGGAAATGACTGTCCTATCAGTGGTCTTTTATTTGGGTCCTGGGTTTTGAGTTCTCTCTCACCCCAGAACCTAAGCCCCTCCAAAACTTACCCGCTTGTACAATCAGACCTGGCTTCAATATCCTTTGGATAATGACCCTAAATGGCCACTTAACAGCACTCCAGATTCCAATATTATCAGGGATCTTTTCAACTATCGTGAGCATTCAGGAAAATGGAAAGAGATATCATACAATCAGGCCTTCTCCTTTCTACATTCTAAGCCCTCTCTTCAACTCTTGCTCTCCCTCACAAGTCCCCTTAGCTCTCACCTCCTCTACGCCTGCTTCCAAAGGGACAGAAGATCCTACCCATGACTCCTCCTCCTTTAACCCAGCCAATGTGCCCCCACCATACCACAATTCTCTTTCTGATGAAGCTGCCGCAGCAACTGTCCCCTCAGCCCCTTTGCCCTTCTCTCCTCCTGCCACTGGCTCACGGGCTGCCACTGCCCAACCCGCATATCTGTGTCCTCTACTCAAGGTGACTGGGATAGATGGTGTAATCCAGGTCCCTGTGCCTTTCTCTTTATCAGATCTTTCACAGATAGAAATGTGACTTGGGTCTTATACTTCAAGTCCCACCACATAGATCAAAGAATTTCAATATCTGACTCAATCGTATGATTTGACCTTCTTCAATGTCCATATGATCTTGTCTAACACCCTCCTGCCTGAGGATCGCAGGTGAGTTTGGGGGTAAGCTAGAAATTATGCTGATGAGGTATATCCAATTGGCACTGAAGTGGTCTCTGATCAGGACTCCAATTGTGATTATAATTCTACTATAACTAGTAGAAACCAATTCATTACTTGTCACATGGCAGGACTTAGAAAGGCAGCCCATAAGGCTATCAATTATGAAAAGCTCCAGGAAATCATCCAGGATAAGAATGAACACCCTTCAGCATTTTTAGATCACCTCATCAAGGTTTTATTACACTTTACTAATCTGGACCCTGAGACTCCAGATGGGAGAAAACTACTAATGACCGACTTTTTCTCCCAGATTTTCCCTAATATTAAAGCCAAACTAAGGCGCCTTGATAGGGGGCCTCTAACACCCCAAGCTGAGGTTCTGGGGGTGGCCTTTAAGGTGTATTATGGGAGAGACGAGAAGGCCAGAAATATCAGATGCTCACTCAAGCCATCCATCTGGCCTCAGCATCTGTCCCTGGTTCCACTGCTCCCCCTCACCTGTGGAAGGGTCCCTTGGGACCACCCAGACTTGTTTTAAATGTGGTCTGATGGGTCACTGGGCTCATACATGTCCCAAGCCTCACAAGCCTTCGTGCCCTTGTCCTAAATGCCATCATGAGGGACATTGGGTCACTGGCTGTCCCTGAGTCCATAACGGCTCCTGGACATCTGGCCCTTCTGGTCCCCTTTCCAACTCTTAGGACTGGCTGCAGAGGATTGACAAGGCCCAGGTCCCCATCACCAGATCACTATCATCACTCTACTGGGACCCAGGATAACTCGGCGTATTTCAGGGGGCCTGTCTCCTTCCTCCTAGACACCATGGCTACATATTCAGTCCTCAAGGAGTTCTGGGGGTTACTAGTCCTTCTGTGACCTCTACTATCAGGGTAGAGGGTAAACCTTACCAATCTTACAGACACCTAGCCTTGTTTGTGCTTTTGGCTCTCTAATTTTTACCCACTCCTTTTTGGTCATTCCAAAATGCCTTGTTCCCCTTATTGGAAGGGATATTCTCACAAATTTGGGGGCTAGACTTTCCTTTTTCCCTCATATACATTTCCATTCAGACTCGTCTACTGCTCCCCTGATCCTCACCCTTACCTTAGGGCCATCTCCAATTCTGTCTGCTGATAGACCCAACCTGATCTTTTCTTAAAATTGGGCATCTCGCCACAAAGCCATGAAAAGATAATTTCGGCTTTACTATAAATTACTGCAAATTCTGAACCTGCTTGGAATGCCTGCCCGTGCCTTGAACTCACCCATGGCTGGCTCTCTGACCAGATAGCAGCCCTCTCTGAAACTTTAGTGACACCTCATAAATATTGGCCTTCCCTGGCCAGACAACGACCCTCTCTGAGGCTCTAATGGTCCTCATAAATTCTGATGTTGGGGCCAGCAAAAAATGTAAACTACCATTCGTGTGATGCTTGTCAGAGTTCTGTTATCCGTAACCCCCCTTTGTGTAACTTTCTGGGCTATAAAGCTGGGCTGCAGGAAAGCTGGGGTGCTGTCTTGTTCCCACCATTTTGGGAGGGAGAGGCAGCCTGGCCGGTCGAAATAATAAGCTTGTTTAATTTGATTTTAATTGGAGTCAGTGGTCTTTTCTTGCGTCCTGGTCTAACACTGCTACTGTCTGGGATCGCCTCACACCACAAGCCCATTCACATCTGTCTCAAAACCCCCTCCATTTTCTGGCCCAATCACAATACCTGCTCTCCCTCCTTGCTGCTGCTGTTATCCCAGGTGTGTGTGTGTGTGTGATTAGTCCTGCGCCAATTTTCTTTAATTGGTGCACTGACTTGATCCCATTCTCCCATCAGCTTTGCTCTCCCCTCTGGGGATTTGAGCTGCTTTGGGACCCTGACCTGAGGGCCCAGGACAATCACCACACACCTTCTTCCATTCACTGAGCACCCTTCTTCTCCTTCCACACACCGGCCTCATTTGGGTAAGTGACTTAGCCTTTCCCCTCCCCTCCTCCCCACAAGTCTACTTCCTAGAGATGGCAGTGACAAGTCTCCTCTTTAGAGACTAAAGTTAAATTAGATCTTGGCCCAGCACCAAGATTCTTGACCTTCCCATCCCTTCCCCTTGGAGAGTCTTGGTTCTCAGCTCCTCAGCAGAGCTCACAAAAGTCCTGGTTAGGCACCAAGACTCTCGGCTGGCAAAGCCTGGGACTAGGGAAGTAGTGGGTGATGACTTCCTTCTCCCAGTCCCAGAAAGGCTTCAGCCCCAGGACCAGTGAATTGTGTGGTGATGACCCCTTTTCACTGCTGTCCTCCTCTCACTCTGGTTGGTCTAGAGCCGGGGACGCTTACCTCTAGCCACTCCAGCACTCCAACTTGCCATGGGGGACTCCCAATCCAGAATCCCATCTAACTCACCCTCAGCTGCCTCCTCACCCACTTAGCCCTACTCTGTTTGGCTCATGATTAATTTAACTTTCCACTCAGTCATGGCCCTTCTATGACTTGGACAATGGCCACCTCATGGCACCTTTGATCTGAATATTTTATGAAATCTTCATAACTTTGGCGAGCACCCAGGAAAATGGAAGGAAATTCCTTATATGCAGGCTTTCTCCTTTCTCCACTCTGAACCTTCCCTTTGCTCCTCTTGCTCCCCCACCCAGTTTCTACTTGCCACTAAAGCTCTGGATTCCTCCAGAGACCCTACTTCTAGACAAACAAGGGACCCAGAATCCTCCTCCCTTCTTCTATTGGCATAGTACATTGTAAAGCCCTAGGCAGCAATCTCCCTGGCCAAGGCCAGGCTGAAGCTATGTCACACACCCATTTCACCTTTACGTGGCTGAGATTTGCTCTAGGGGTCCTCGGACACATGCTGAGGACAACCTTTGCCCCTGTGGCTTATCTATCAAATGGTCTCGACCCTACTGTTTGGGGATGGGCCCCTTGCCTACCAACATTGGCTGTAGCCTACTACTCATTAACGAGTCAAAGAAAGAGAGAGAGAGAGAGAGAGAGAGAGAGAGAGAGAGAGAGAGAGAGAGAGAGAGAGAGAGAGAGAGAGAGACTCCTCCAGAGAGAAGAGGGTCCAGAGCCGGTGCCCCAAGGGAATAGGGGTGTCCTGCCCCTTTATAGATTTTAGGTTTCCTTTCTTCTCACTCCTCCTCCTCCCATTTCACCTATTTGGTGACCAAATGGGCAGGAAGAGAGCCACCCAGGGGGCACTCATTAACAACTCCTTGCTGGAGGAACACTTCCCTGGAGGCCGTGATTGTGACCACAGGTAAGCGGAAGTGCTCTGGGGGTGTTGACATTTTATGTCCTTTGGAATCGCCCCCACCTTCCTGACCTGATCACTCATTATCTGCACTGACTGTTCTTTTGCCCTGTCTCAGTCCCCCCCCCCCCCCCCCCCCGTTAACGGAACCCCTACTGCTGTGAGGGGAGATGGACGATGACCACTGTGGCTGAGAGGGGGCGATGTGGGGCAAGCCAGCAGTTTGGGTTACCCTTTTAGGAGTGTTTTGGGTCCATTGAGGGGTCCACAGTGAAAGTCTGGTTAGTGAACACGGGTTGTAAGGTTATCTGAGAGGCGGGTGCTCTATGAGAGCAATGAGAAGACCCGAGTACTGGAGGGAGATTAATACTTGTCACCACCCCAGACTGAGACAGAATTTCTGGGGGCAAGACTCACATACTTGAGTTTTGTACACCTGTCCCAGGCAGTTCTAAGGCACAGCTGGGGATAAGAGCCACTAGAGGTAGAGATTTAGGTACGGCTCAGTTTAAACGCATTCCAGTACTCACAGCAGCATGGCTGGAGAAGGCACGCCCGATTGGTGGTCTGCCATCTGGAAATGGGATGGTGACTGCACATACTGCACAGAGCTTTCGGGAATTTCATGTTTGTCGAGTCCGTATGAACCTCACTCAATGGGCACAATCCCCCCCCCCCCGAAGCTCAATGTTAGGCATCGAGCATCGTGGCTTACAGAGGTGGGGTGATTTGCTGAAGGTCACACAGAGCAGAAGTTTTATCCAGACCCTCTGGCCTGGGCCTGCTGGAGCAGCGGATGCAGGGGGCGCTGCTAGCTAGGGGCTGGGCCTTTGCCCTCTCTTCTCTAACTGACTCTGACGGAAGCTGCCCCAGGATAGAGTCCCACGTCGTTTTGGCCTCCACCTCAGCAACTGAGCCATCTGAACCCGGGTATTTCTGAACATTTTTTAGCCACATTGGTATTTTCTTAAGGAAAACTTATGCAAAAAGCCAGAATATAGAATACAAACTGATGAATTGAATTCTTATACAGAATGACAAAGTGGGCCATGGACCTGCAGAGGCCCCAAGGAATGAGCTCTTAAAAGCCTGAGCCAGAGAGAGTGACCTCCATCTGTAGCCTCAGTCACTGTCCAGGGGGCTACCAGGGGGCCAGCCAGGCTGTGGGTGGAGGCGGTGACAGAATGTTTGCTGAGGAACTTTTAAAAGTATCCAATGTTTTCAAGTCATTGTAAATCAGACCTTTTGGCTTTGGCCCTAAAAATAGACACTATGAAGAACAAAGGAACTGTGGTGTTAAAAGTAGGAAAGCCCAGGCCACCAGCAAAGAGTCTGTGTCCTCTTAGAACACCAGAGACTCCTGGGCCAGCCCGTGTGCCAGTTCATGGAGCTATTTGGAGCACTCTGAGCTAGGAAATGAGAGTAACTATCTTTGTTTTTAAAACTAACAAGATAACAGCTATTATTTCTCTAGAACTTACTGTATCTGGAACCAGGCTAGAAACTTTAGTCCTCATTTCAACCTGTTTTATATATGAGAAAAGTGAGGTTCAGAGAGGTTAAGTCACTTGCCCAGGATCACACAGAAAATCAGGGGTGGAGTTAGCATTCAAACCCGAATCTGTTGGGGTTTAGAACCTGTCTCATAATGCTGTGTGTCCTGGCTCTCTGGATTTGGGGCAAAGCTGAGCAACCTCAGGCAAACTTTCACTGTCTCTGTGCCTATGTCTCTTGCATAAAAAGGGAGTGGGACAGGAATTTAGGTGTCCCTTCCTCTGTCCCCTACTCAGAGTCCATCAGGATCTTTTCTCCAAGTCTTTCTCAGTGTTTGTCACCTGGGGAAAGAGGAAGAGCAGACACTTCCGGGAGGCAGGAGGAATGAGGAGGGATGAGGGGCACCTGAAAGCACAAACCGCTGCTGAGGCAGGACGTTCCTCGGCCACAGAAGCAGAAGCGCACGTTCCCATTCAGTCCCTCTCTGGAGGGTTCCTTGGCACCTCTCCACAGCACCCAGTGCCCGGCCCCTGAGCTCCAGTGTCGCTCGGCAGGGAAGTGCGTCTCTCAGCTGCGCTCAGTTCCCGGTCACCTTTCCTGGGACCTCGCCGTGCGCACCTGGGAATGGGGTCCGTGTCCTCTGGTGCTACAGTGGGGGTCCCACCGCTGCCCGCTGGCTGCCTTGGCAAAATGCTTGTCACCCGCGTCTGGGCCGACCCAGCATGCCTCAGGGTTTGGGGTTCTCCTGTCAGAGCCACCACCAGGGGCCGCAGGGCATCAGTGCTTGGGGGGTGCGTCAGGTCCCCACCATTCCAGTCACCGCTGCCTGCAAGCTGCCCAGAGAGGGAGGTGCCCTTGGCCCCTTTCCCTGACCTTTCACCTCACCAGTTCAGAGTCAGGAGGGGGTGTGGGACACACAGAGGCAGAAGTGACAGCTCAGGCCCCGATGGGGGTTGGGATTAGGGAGGTATGTGTGTGGGGTTCTGGGGACCTGCTATGCCCTCAGCTTACCTCTCGGTCTTCAGTGACCGTCTGGTGGTCTCAGCAGGTTTTGGTGATCTCCCTGATTGCGTTGACGAGGCAGCCAGTAGGGCCAGGGTACCCAGGTTAACAGTCAGTCCTGATCCCAAGCCCTCTGAACTACTTCTGTGGCCTGGAAGGGACTAATTAAATGGTTCTCTCCCTTAGCCTTTCTGTCCCCAACTGTCATGAGTTCGTGGTCACATCTGTCCGAGAGAGCCATACCCCACCACCCATAAGGATCCATCAGCAAATCCTGACATTGCCAGACCCCCGTCTGAGCCCCTGGGGTGTCTTCTGCAGGGACAAACACACTCCTCCTGTGTTGCCTTCTCCACCCACACCCATGGCCCCTGCGGCAGCAGCAGGGCCCGTGACCCTCCTGGCCCGCATCCCAAATCCTCCCCAGGCCCTCCTGCCCTGCGGTGCTGCTGCCCTCACCTCCCGTGAAGCCCCCCAGGTCTTTCTCCCCAGCAGGGCTGGCCTCCTTGCTAGTCTCACAACAGACCAGCTCTTCTCCCAGGGCCTTTCCCCTGGGTGGGGGTCTCCCCCTGCCTCCTCAGGAAGCCTGACCACCTGTGTAGCATGGTACCCCCTCCCAGTCTTCCCTGTCTCCTGCTTTGTTTACTTTGCCACTCAGGTCACCATCACGGATGGACTCTGCAGGCTGCGGGTGCCCCTCCCCAAGGCCTGGGAATTTGGCCTCTTACTCATTACTATGTACACACAGTGCTGGGCCAATAATAAATGCTTGGGAGATATTTGGTAAATGGATGAATAAATAAATAGTGCACCTGGCTGCATACAGCAGGTGCTTAACAATTGGGAGAACTGGGCAGGGAGAAGGTGAGAAAAGAGAGTTGAGTTCCTGCTTCCAGGCGGGGGGTGGGGAGAAAGGTAGTCAAGGAAATCCCTTCTGCCATCCCTGATAAGGGCCCCAGAGACTGCTGGGAGGAGCCAGGTGGGTGCACCAGGTGGAGGGGAGACAGGACCCTGTTTCTGATCTCAGCTCCCAGACCAGGCACCCGGGGCCAGCCAAGACCAGAGCTTGGAGCAGCCCATCAGGCTGACACATGGGGAATGTTGAGGAAGTTCTGTGTCCAGCCAGATCCCCAGACAAACCCTCTTTTTGGTACCAGAGATTGAACCTGGGGGTGCTTTACCACTGAGTCACATCCCTATCCCTTTTTATGTTTTGTTTAGAGACAGGGTCTTGCTGAGTTGCTCAGGGCCTCACTAAGTTGCTGAGGCTGGCTTTGAACTCATGATCCTCCTGCCTCAGCCTCCCAAGTGGCTAGGATAATGGGCGTGCACATTGTACCTGGATTCCCCTGACCAACTCTTAACCACTCTGATCTCAAATCTCTCCTTCCTCTCTTGCGTGGATGGACGTGTGACTTCCTGGAAGTGCCACCCTGGCTATGTGTGCTCTGCTTGTCTTCTCTGGCCTGGTCATGCAGGACTGGAAGCCCCTTCTCTATGTCCCCTCTACCACCAGGGCTTCCCTCTGTCCCCCAGCCTGGGATCACCTGGTTTATGAGAGAGTTTAATCCAGTCTCTGACCCTCTAGAGGCCAACTTTGCTCAGGTGAGGAGGACCTGCCAGAGGCCCTGCAGAGGGACTGGACACTTGAATCCTGAGACCTGCCATCAAACTGCTCCTCTGGTTTGTCAACCTGAGAACAGACCCAAAATCTAGCCAAGGAGGAAGCCATGCTTGCTTCTGGCCTTCACTTCTCCTTTCCTTTGTGGCAAAGGAACCCCGACTCCCTAAGAGAGACATCTTCTAGCTCCATGCAAACATTCTTCACTGACCTTCCTGACAATCCGGGGGGAAGGCCTCCCTGTCCCACTGTGCAGAGGAGGAGACCCAGGCTCCTACAGGCCAAAGGCTGTGGTAGGCCACCCCTGGACAGCACAGGTTGTGTCCGCAACCTGCACAGCTGTTAATTAAAAAACCTGGCTAGGGGAAATGGGGGATTAGAAAAGACAAACAGACATGCATAGAGAGAAGAAGCTGGAACCAGTGGGCATTACACTCTGATAGAGATACAATGACCAGAGCTAGCTCAGCACGTTTATTGTATAGGTTTTAACATCAAAAGGATTTTTTTGGATGAGAAAGTTTTTTTCAAAGCACACAGGATGAAGGATGAACTTCTGGGCGGCCCAATTACAATGATCAACTTGTGCTCATAATTCTTTTTTACCCCCCAGCAGCTGGTGCCCAAATTCAGGGTCAAGATGATAGTCCCACGGCAAGCATGGACCCTCCTTTGAATAGGGTGTCACCATAGCCATTGGGCAGTCTCAATCCGTGCCTTTGCACATGAAGTTCTGTTGCTGGACAATTAGAGACTGTAATTCCAATCACTGCTCCCAACAAGCACGGAAGCATTCAGGGAACTGACAGCCTAGGTGGGGCCATCAGGAGGTGGTCTTGTACTTCAGGGAGATTGTGAACCAGGAGGCTGTGAGGGGCCTGGCTCAGCC